TACTCAAGACTCTTCAATAGTGATAATCGCCACTTTTTTCGCCCGGTATCCGCTCGCGGCTTTCAAGGTTATAATGGTATACTGGTATAATTGTATTACTATCCATCTTTTCCATCAGAGTAGGTTTTCTTGAATGCCAAAATGTGGAATGTTAAATCAGAATGTGACAGTTAGCTGTCAAGAAAAAATTCAGTTATCTTTTAATGCCAGATCTAAGAACTTTGTGTAGACCTTTGAAAATGTTCTCAATTTCCTAATGAACTGAACTGCTTATTGCCAGAAAACAAAGAATCCACGTTAGGGGTTGGATTACTTTCTCCCGGATATCTTACATTTCAATGGACAATTCCGGATGAGAGTTTCAATTTCCGGTCTGAAAAGTATCCGAAACGGGATTTATTTGTACAGGACTGTCATTTCTTAATCTGGTCAAAGATTGCACGTGTTGTTTGCAAAACAATTTAGACTTGTTGTTTAGGAACCGGTGAGCATCAGTTACCATCGAGCATAATGTTAAAGTTACCAGCACTAGTAACATCTCTATTCCGTTAATGATAGTTATTACCTCATGCTCAGTTATATGACCTCCCACACCAGGTACGGTTACTCTTCAAGAATTGCAACAAGTTTGTCTTAACCTGTTAACAACTGATCGGAATTTGATCAACTATTTTATTTTCTACACTGAGAAAACGGGTAGATATAAGAATCTCTGCTAGTGGACTGATCAAATAATGCAAAAAGGGTATTCAGTGGTTGACGGTCAAGGGTCCATGTTTACTGCTAATGAAGAGTAAGGTATTTGGGCAACGCATATACACGACTAACCCCGAACTGCGTACAGCTGGTAGATTTGCTCTCTCACGACAAAATATCTTGCTTATCCCAAATGAGACCGATGTAGTTGGATAATGTAAGTCCCATATTGGTTTCCGCAAGTAAACATCTGGATTAATCGTTCTATGGGACTCCGCTGCTTGCCTTTTGGGTGGGATCGAAGTAACTATGCAGGTATGATCATTTGGTAGGACCAGATCTCTATATATCTAGTCATGTTTTCCCACTAAAATGTGATACTCACTGCATTGTGTCATGTTCTCAGGTCATCTCCTCCCACCCCTCTCTCGTAATTATAATTACAATGCAGCTACGTCTTCAAACCCCCTTATAAACGTGACTTAATTAAGTTTTCTACCCGTTCTCATTCACCAATTGGTTTCAATACTTAAAATTCGTCATCCCAGACCTGGTTGATAGCCAGTTTAGGTAGTAGCAATCGAAAGATTATTCAGCTTTCTTCGACAACCCAGTCTTACTGAACTTCCGTCGAATGGTTCAAACAGTGTTTTAACTTCGCTTCACATTCTTTGCCTAAAACTGAACTGAAATGGATGTCTCCCCCTTTTAAACTGAACGTGTTTCCCTAGCACCCTGTGAAGTACATCTGTTCTGAACGTGGAGAAATGATTTAGTTTATAAACACTATTGGGATGATAGATTTGAAACGATGCTTCCCGTTACCTTACTGGTGGTTTAATCAATACACCACCAGTGGTATAGTAGATAATGAGCCCCAAATATGAATACTTTGTGTACATATACATATATAGATAAAGTTGTCAGAACAATAGTTATTACTTACTATTCCCAATGAAAATTTCACGGCGAACACATTTCTTTATTTATGTGGTGCACAAAACAAAGGCCTTATCACAGCTAAATTTTCGTCCAATCGGAAAATCAGCAGCACAGTTCTGCAACCGTGGTAGAAGGTGTACAGGGTGTTTCGTTCAAAGCAATGCTGATAACCATAAGGTTTCGCCTGAGGTATGCTAATTGTATTGTATTGTATTGTATTGTATTGAAGCTTTAGCGAGTTATGTATACAAGCTTTCAGCTAAAATATAGACCATAAGTACAATTCTGGTAAAAAGAGGCGAAAAAGTGGGATATGAAACATACAAAAATATAAGCTAATTACTCAGTGCATTGGAAAGCTCAGAACGAGCACTTTCCTTGTCGGTCAGTATCCGGGCAAGATAGGGTACCAAAGAGTTTATGTATGTAGATATGCGAGACGGGATGTTTGTACTTAGAACGGGTGGAGGGGTGGGATTCGTATACATACAAGTCAATGTGTAGAGAATGGGTGCAGTCAAATAGGATTTTGTCAGCACGCATCAGTATGGGCATTACACATGTTGACAATCAGAACAGATAACGGAACTTGGAAGACACAGATAATCATTGACAGGCCAAGCCTCAAAAACTTGGAATCAGCTTTCAACAAACCAGGGAAAATTGCAGGAAAGCAGTAAAGGGGTATAAAGAGGACACATTGTTGAACAAAAGCGTTTATCACCGGCGAGTCAGAACAGAAGTGGCGTAGTATTCTTATCTGAAAATGAGAGAACTTTTAATTTGCGAGCAACAGTTTGGGGATGCAAAGACCAGCGAAGGTTATTTTTAAGTGTGGAACCTAAGTACTTCGTATATCTGAACCTGCTCATTGGCTTTCCATGAATCTGTACATTGTCGGAAGGAAACGGGAAACGGTTTAGATTGAAAATACATTCAATGCGTTTTTCAGGATTAAGATTAAGACCGGAAGAAGTGGAATATAAAACGAGGTGGGATAGGTTTGTACTATATTCAGCCAGTTCTGATTGGTTGGATACGAGAACCGGAAATGGCAGTATCCTCAGCATACTACTACTGTTGCTGAAGTCAGATTGCCCAGGATTGTGTATAACTCAGAATGGGACAAGCAGTGTTTAATTTGGTGCAAACGTTAATGGTTTTCCCGTGAACTAGTCACCTGTCCTTGTTTGCATACCTGTAACCGAATCGACCCCTTGTTTTTGTGAAGTGTGCTCACCTCCTTTACTAAACGTCACCAAACTATTATCCTCATATGGAGAATGTTTTTAAAATCATCCTTCTTGCCTGAGCTCAAGAGAACTATTTGGAGCTTCGTTATCGGAAAGCATATCTCAATTCCAGATACAAAATATCCAGGATAAATATTACAACATTCCAAAATATTTTGCGTTGGGTCGAGCTCCTCTGAACAAGCCTTCTATGTGCCTACTGGATATGTAGAATGTATGATCTCTAGTTTCCGTGGAAGGGGAGGGGGACTGAGAACACATTGTATGGTTGATTGGACTTTGGTTTTGTCTTGAGGACGGAAATCCGGTCCTGGCCTCAAAAACTGTCTGGTACATTTCGGAATCAAAATGTTGTTTCGTTCCAGCCTATAGTCTTCTTGGTTTGCGAATGCAATACTCCAAGGGAAGTATACATCTTCGGGGGCATAGAAGGAACACTA